CGGCGTTGGTGGCAGGCGCCTGTAGTCCAGCTACTTGAGACGGCTGAGCAGGAGAATTTGGCATGAAACTCAGGAGGCGGAGCTTGCAGTGAGCAGAGATCGGATGGCCACTGCGCTCCAGCCTGGGTGACAGAGTGAAGACTCTGTCTCAAAAAAAAAAAAAATTATCAGCCAAGCCATGTGGCACGCACCTATAATTCCCAGCTAGCTAGGGTGGGGGCTGAGGCAGGAGAATCGCTTGAAACCCAGGAGTTGTTGGAGGTTTGCAGTGATCCGAGATCGCATCGCACCACTGCACTCCAGCCTGGGCAACAGGAGTGAGACTCCATCCATAATTGAGCAAAAGAAGCAGGTAACAGCCCAGTCACAGGCAGAACTTTACCACACCTTCGGCAGAGTTTGGGAAGAGGCGTGAAATTCAAGCACTTTGGGGAAATGGAATATAGTTGAACGACGGACCGGAAACACAGGGCAACAAGGAAAGGAAAGGAAAGAGGGAGGGAAGGAGGGAGGGAGGAAGGAAATCATCAGGCCTTAAGGACTGTGTAGCCGACACCATACTCATCCCCAATATCCCCAGATAGGGACAAGAGAATACCTACCAACTGTTGTGTGCTCTGGGAATTGTCTGGCTCCCAGTTGACACAAAAAATAGTCCTGTTGCTGCCCTGTTCAATTTCTCACCTCCAAGGCCAGATCACATGCCTTCTGTCTCTCCTCTGTCCACCTTTGCATGTCCCTGTAATGGCTTCCATTCATGCCAGAGACGGAAAAGTGGCAAGCCCTGTGTGGTGAGGATTTCACCCTCTTAAGAGCTGCTGGACAGAGCAAAGGTGAGAAGTGGGACTCCAGGAACCATGAGGCCTTCCAGCATGACAGCAGCCAGCTTAACCTGGGCATGGGCCTGAAACTTCCCTATTTCTTGGATGATTGCTCTATAGAACACCCAAACTTTCTACTCAGAGTTCCTGGGTTTTATGAGCCATCTGTTGTATGAAGTATGCAACGGTACTTTCTCTGGGGAGATGAAAGGAGAAAGTAGATGGAGTTTAATCTTGCTACTAGTTGCACAATCTGGACAAGCTGCTTAGGTCCTTAGGGTTTCAGTCCTTCCCTCTGCCAATTGAGATGGCTTCCTCATGGGGCAACTGAGAAGAAAGAATGACGTCATATGAGTGAAAGTGCTTCCAAAGGGCAAACCATTGAACAGGTGGTTGCCATTGGTTCCATCAAATTGGAGACTTCTGGACACCAAGACTGGGTAGCACTGGCCCTTCCCCTACTCCTGAGTATAAAGGACTGCATGGTATAAGTCCCCTCCAGGAGGAATGCCTCTGCATTGGGAACCCCCTGTTTGAGTGTTACAACTGATCCCTGGTATACTTTAACCAAGATATAATCATTGAGAACACCCAAGTGCCTTCCGTGCATTCCCTAACAACAGAGTTTGTGCAACCGAGAAAATCGTAGCTTTCAGATGTGAAAGTGCATACAGGCACCGAAGAATGTTATCCACTGGGTGCCAATAACCAATGAAAATGAAGTGATTTGCTTTCTCGTAATTTGAAAAATCCCACTAAGTGTGGGCCAGGTGCGGTGGCTCATGCCTGTAATCCCAGCACTTTGGGAGGCTGAGGCCGGTGAATCACCTGAGGCCAGGAGTTCAAGACTAGTGTGCCCAACATGGTGAAACCCCGTCTCTACTAAAAATACTAAAACTTAGCCAAGCATGGTGGCAGGTGCACCTGTAATACCAGCTACTCTAGAGGCTGAGGCAGGAGAATCGCTTGCACCCCAGAGGCAGAGGTTCCAGTG